GGGCTGAGTTTTATAATGGCGTTTCATTCTGGTTCACTAATAGCATGGCGTCAGCCCACTGTGATCATTTGTGTAGTGATTTAGGCTTTCAAGAATGTTTTTCCTTCCTCTCGAGACCCCGAGGTTAATAATTCTAAGCTTTCCTAGCTTTGTGAGATGAGTAAATTGAGTGAAGCACCTAATTATCCTTGGTATGCAGAGAAATACAAACAATCCAAAAAAAAATATAGATTGCATGTCATAAGACATAAAAAAGTGCGAATAACGGCCGTATTTTGAGTTCAGATAATATCATGCGTGAAAGTTGGAAAATTATTGAATTCATTTCTTGACCGTGCCTCGTATACACCCTGATTTCTATAATGTATGTGATTATAACTAGACCTCCGATCAATACATTGTTTAGCTTACTTTGTCTTATTTATACTGAAAAAACAGTTTTTATTTACAACCATATACAGGCTGATCCACGGTGGATGGCCTATTAGAAGTATCTGGAGAACGAGAAGACAGAACATTCTGAAAATTGGGATGATATTTTCATCGATACAGTGTTGCCACTTCTATCAGAAACATTTAGCAACTTCGTTATTTCAAATAGAACACCCTACCCTGTATTTTATTGCATTTTTAGATTTTCCCTGAAAAGCTGATTTCATCAATGTATCACACTTGGGGTCTAGCAGGAATGATTACATAGATATAGGGTGATCAAAATCGAAATTTTTCAATTTCAGGATTTTTTTGTGTCGAAAGTATTCATTATTGATCAAAACGGCTTACATGTCCCTATCTCAACTTTCGATTCACTGTCTACTGACATTTAATTGGAACAGATACAGGGTGATCAGAATTCCGAATCTTGAAGCACCCTGTATTTTTTTCCAATCAAATTCCAGTAGATAGTCAATCAAAAGTTGAGATAGGGACATGTAAGCCGTTTTGATCGATAATGAATAGTTTCGAAACAAAAAAATCCTAAAATTGAAAAATCTCGATTTTGAACACCCTATATCTCTGTAATCATTCCTGCTAGACCCCAAGTGTGATACATTGATGAAATCAGCTCTTCAGAAAGAATCTAAAAATGCAATAAAATACAGGGTGTTCCATTCGAAATAACAAAGTTGCTAGTTGTTTCTGATAGAAGTGGCAACACTGTATCGATAAAAATATTTTTTCTACAAACGTCAAAAAATGACAAGGTTCGCGCATTGATAACAAATTGCGAAGTGACACTTTTTTCAGTTTCCTACGTTACCATGATACCTTGCACATAACAATGCGCGAAGTAAAACAGTGCGCGAAGTACCTACTTCGCGCATTGTTATGTAAAATATATGAGATATTTATATTTCAACTTTATGATCCTCAATCGAGCAAACATCCACGAAATCATTCATTTCAGAATAATCAACAATGACTTTGATTTATCTCTTTGAGCGCACGAAAGGAAATGCCTATTATGTTCGTGGAACATCGTGCGTACCTAGGGAGGATAGGGGGAGGCCTTTCGAGCCAGTTCAACACTATTGTTCATATCAAGCTAAGCATATGTTTACTTTAGAACTATAATTTTGACGTTTGTACAAAAAATTTGTTTGCAACTCGAGTGCGAAATACTTTGGTCATCTCGACTATTTTTTTAACTCGGCTATGCCTCGTTAAAAAAATCAGATCTCGATCACCAAAGTAGCACTTCGCGCTCTAGATACAAAAATAACTATTAGACGGATAGAGAATGTTCAATTATCGAAGCATCTCAATTTTCAGAATGTTCTGTCTTTTCGTTCTCCAGATACTTCTAATAGGCCATCCACCGTGGATCACCCTGTATATGTAATGTTGTCATTACTAACGTCATTGAAGGTTGGGAAGTGTCACATTACACACCTCCTTTTATTTATTTAACATTTCATTCCACTTTGAGCATTGTGGCTATTTCCTAGTTGATCTAAGTTAGTGGCAGATCGTCAATATTTCCGAGAATATTTCGCCCGCGTCGAAAGATTATATCCGATGGACCAGTGTAAAACCCATGTGGTGCTCGCACTACAAGTATTTTAATCTACATGTGTTTGACACTGGTACATCGGATATTATCTTTAGAGGGGGCGAAATATTCTCGGAAATATTTACGCTCTGCCACTAACTTAGATCAGTTATGAATCGCGGCACGTTTGCATATTCGCAAAGGGGACATTATCCCCTTGTACTTGCTTTTTGTTTCAACTTACTATCACATACGAAAGTATGCCCGGAATAATAGTAGAATGTATCGCTGTGCCATGGATTTGGCTCAGACTGAGGGGTGACACAGGTAGGTTTTTAAAATCTACCATTCAATTGGTATCGGATAGCATAATTCTCATTTCGTTATCAAATCGCGAAATCAAGTGCAAATTTCCGCACAGAAAAGTGAAATTCTTCAATCATTTTGCACAGGATAGTGATTGGCACAGGTGCCGTTCGATGAACTACAATGTTTTTACATGCCTTTGGGACATATATGATTTCGTTATCAGATAATAATAATAATAATAATGGTTTATTCATCTATATAATAATAGTACAATTTATATAAACAATAGCTCTGTAGAGGAATAAACATAATGATCCATGGATCATCCTACGAAGTATATAAAATACTTGTTTGTAGGTACATACATATGTATATATTAATACGAAAATATCCAACAAATAAGTATGAGGAATGTGAATTAAAAATATATAAATAAAATACAGAAAATACAAAATGTGGAGAAAATGCTATGACGTAAAACTGGTACATTTATAAATAACATTGGGTGATAATTGACATTAAAGAATATTGAAAATTGTGAATGTCGATATATCATTTTTCTAACCTATATCTATTCTACCTTCATCAATGGAAATTCACAGATCATATATACTTATAAACTCACATACATACATGTATATCTACATACATATACATACAAATGCTTTAAATTTCAAATATTTAAAATTTCATGTACAGCCAATCTGGTCATTTCTGATACATATTTTTTCAATTTCTTCCGATACAATTTTAGTTGTGTTTCCTCTCTCAGACTTTCAGGTAAACAATTGTAAATTTTTGGCCCCAAAAAACTGTAACTTCTTTGCCCTACCGATTTATGCATAAATGGAACAATATATCGAGTTTGACGGTCGAAATTTGCAGCCGGCCCTTGGACTAATATAGGAGTCAAGTTATACAATAAGTTCAAATGTATCTGTGATAAAGAATATTCATCAACAGTAGAAACACAAGAACTTTTTTTATCGGAAACATTTCTCTTGGTAACGAAAAACATTTGCCGATCAGTAATTTTACGAGACAATCTGACATGAAAAGATTGCGCGACCGTAGGTAAATAAACAACAATAATGTTTACCTTCATTGATCATTCCGTGTAACTGGTAGTTTGCGGAATGGGCGTGTACACCTTGGTAGAACTTTTAACTCAAACCATGTTGATAATGATCATTTTATACATAAATAACGATTGACGACATAATTCGATCGAAAAATTAGCTGGAATGTTTTATTTTTGGACATAAATAATAGTACCTTCTGAAAACGGACCCTCTTATGACGTAGAAACCTCATCTCGCCATAGTTGAAAGAAAATACCAAACACCAGACGGAGACTGAGGCAACTGATATATTAATTCTTTCAACTGTGATATCGCGCTAATTCACTCTGTCAGAAATCATGTATCATTCATCTCTGTCTGGAATAGTCTTGTTTCAGTATAAGGGTTTTGACGTCACATCATCGCCTCGTTTTCAGAGGTCCGAAAAATCGGGGAATTCAATAATTTTTTATAAAACATAGGGAGCTCACAGCAAGAAACGGTTTGCGGTGGTGAGCTAGTTTGGGTGAATTCTCTCGAATTATGAAATAAAATTTTTTTGTGATATAACCCCATTGACTTCCTTATATTTTCATGGTTTCTTCAGATGAAATTTTCCTAAAACGGCTCATCTTGCTAATTTACGCGTGAACCATACCCATCAATCACACTTGACACGACAGAAATTGGAGTGACATCAGGCGCAAATAGCTACTAGATCAAAGGAGCAGGCAGTTTATCAGCGATAAAAAAGGTGCATCCTTTTTTATCGATGTCAAAATGACTCACGTCGTCGTCAAATAGCGTTTTCCGTGTAGGAGTTGATTTTTCAATTGTAATAATATGTCCTTCAGAAACAAACTCAAACATTATTATTAACAACACATTTTTTATAAATAAATACAAAGAAGCTCAACTCAAAGGCATTTCCACAAATGTTCATAAAATGAACAACAATGGTAGATGGTGGGAGAAAAACAACTAGTTTCCGGCTAATGCCCCACAGGACATTGAATTACTCCCTCCCCTTCCGAAATCTATGCATTGATACGTATAAAACGTATAAACGAATACTAATGCTAGTGTTTCTTTCCCTAATGACGATTGATTTCGATTTAGCCAGGTTAACGCAAGGTATAGGTGTCGTTGTGTCAACCTGGCTAAAATGAATGAAAATCAATCAGCATTAGGGAAAGAAACACTTGCATTCGTATTTGTTTATAAGTATCAATGCATTTTAATGAACGATTGTGGAAATGATTGAGCTTTTATTTATTTATTTTATTTATTTCATAGTTGTAATGTAGAGGAGTATCTCAATTTTTATAATTTGAAATGTATCTTCAATATTAATTTCAATTTGTATGTTTTTAGGTTATGCCCCATGCTTTATTTTCACTACTCCGATAAATATGCATCTGGTTTTGGTCTGTATCGATATCATTTATTTGTATGTTTTTTTTGATGAATAAACTGCTTCTGATTCTGAGGTTCCTGCTTCGATGACTTGTTTTCACACACAGCTGACAGCAACTTATAATTTGCTTTAAATCACGATTGAAATTTAAAAAAAAATCTGTTGATTCAAGCTATGACTTAAATCATTCGATTCAAATCGTCGCAATCCTGATTTACAGGATTCAGTTCTGTCGCCGCCATGTTTCGTGAGGAACCTTCCATGGAAAATAATGGTGATGCCGAGGAACAGCCATGCCCAAGACGGCCGCCCTGACCGACCCTCCCAGCGATCTCTGGGCTTCTTCCTGCAGTGTAACGGAGAGAGCGAATCCAGCTCTTGGTCCTGCTATGCCGTGGCCGAATTGAGGCTTTTGGCCGTCCGACCTGACGTCGATCATTTTTCGAGAAAGATCCAGCACTTGTTCTATTCCAAGGTAAGGAGAACATTGGTCGTTTTATTAATCCGATTTCGCCACCAGAATCACTTTGATGTGTCGTTTTATTTGCAACTTTTCCGATTCGGGTTGCTACTTTCCATTCCGTCTCACTACAAGGAATGACGTGGAATGACTGTTGACAGTTCTCAAAAAATTTAATAAGATTGACGAAAAACGAAGCTTTTTGAAAGTAAAAGACATTCAGAAGACATTTTTATCATGAGTTTCACAAGTTTTTGACTCCCACAAGTAAGACAGGTTTTATATGTTCATTCCCAGATAAAAATTATTCTCTTCATCTCAGAGAAGTTTCTCCAATCACCGCAATCACTGCTCCAAATATTCTTCCTTGATTCATTTTCTAGATTCTCAACTCGTATCATGATTTTGAAATTATTTGGAGCCCCAATATATAAATATAACCTCTTAAATTCTCCCATGCAAGGTCATTTTACTTGTAAAGGTCATTCTGTTCCCACCACCGCTATAATAATAATAAGTTTATTCATTCATTATAAATTTACAATAATTCGCTACCCGAATGGAACAAATAAAACGCAACTATTGTTTATAACTCCTGCGAATTTGTTGAAAATAATAAGAACACACCTGAGAAAGTTTTTTTTTGTTGAGAAAAATAGAAAATTGCCTCCAGTGCAAATAACATTTATAAAGATAAATGTACAAAAGATTTCATTTGTACAGTATGTATTCAATAAAAAAGCGAACAAGTATCAAAAAGAGAGGTTAACGATATCCTAGTTCTAGTTGTGTGAAACTGACTCGGGTTTTTAGTGCCTACGAGAACTTCACTGTCCACATTTGGTAAACAATTATTCCCGATAGCCCTTTTTATGCCAATAGGATGTCCTTAATGTTTCTCTGTAATATACTTGTACGCTTTTTTATTGAATACGACTGTACAAGTCTATAATAGTTGTTATACAAATAACTTGGTCTCATGACTGAGAGATGTCTAATGCATAGAGTTGCACAATCGTACTGTTTCGGCTATCCGGTACCATCAGTCGCTCTCGGTCTGTAGACTAGTTTCCGGTTTATCACCAGTTTTGGAGCCGCCAGAAGATGAGCGCGAAAATAGTTATTGCTTGTCATATTTTGTGAAATTGGACAAATAAACATTTGTACTAACTTGCTTTGTTATCGAGATACAGGGTAATCAATTTCGATAAAATAGTCTTTTTTTATCATTTACTCCAAAGTCTTTTTGTCAGTTTCATTGAAATTTTGCTGGTTTTGGCAGGGAACACTCATTTCTAGTAGAAATACTCTGACGTTCATCACGATAAGAAAATGCATAGATAATTTTTCAAATTTTTTTATTGCTTCCAAATTTTTCGAAATTAATTCCTAAAGAAATGCTCCCGTTAGAACACGACTGAAAATCGTCAGCGGTAGTGACGTCACAAGTTCTACAAAGCGTCGACCGTCTATTGGTAGTCCGGAAAAAATCGATAATTTACTATTCAGTTAGATCAACAGCGTTGCCGTTTCAACAGGTTCTTTACTTGATTTCAACAATGGATGAATTGAGCAAGACAGTTTAAAAATCACTTGTTCTTGTTTTCCTATACACTGGATTGTGGCATGTTATGACATAGATATTTAAGTGATGTCACCATAATGGTTTATTAAAAACTATTCCAAAATCGTTCAGTTAGATTGTTCTATAAATTAATTTAAATAATTCTCGTTCGATAAAACTCCAATATTATGAATATTATACTTTCCTGCATGCGCCATGTTAACTCAGTTCTGTATTTCCCTTTTTGATGAATCCCTTTATTCCTTGAGCATCCGTTTTCCTGGGCCCATAACCTTTTGACTTTTGTGCAAATTACCTTCTATTGTTTCATTTGCTTCCAGTACTTTCAATAAATAAAACACTACATTGATACTTTGCTCTGCTTTTTATTCCCATTATAGCTTACGTGTACAAAATCGAAGATGATCAAAAAGTGACTGAAAAGACATTCTGTCGCTATATATATATTTTCATATAAAGTCAATGTCATATGTCACCACACTGCCATTTTGACAACCAGTCCTACCATCTCTGGTATTTTAGCGTTACACTATGTTAAACTCAACAAACAGAACAGAAGAATGATGAATTCATTGTCTTTTTATAATTTGTTCGAGGAGAATATTCTATCGACTTCTTGTAGTGCCGCGTTATCATGTCTCACATTCTTTTCAGGAAAACGATTGGGGATTCTCCCATTTCATGGCCTGGAACGATGTGTTAGATGTTGAAAAAGGCTACATCAAAGATGACGCCATCACCTTGGAAGTGCAAGTGATGGCCGATGCTCCTCATGGGGTGTCGTGGGACAGCAAGAAACATACAGGTGGGCTATGGTTTCTTCATCGATGTCCTATCAATAACAATAAATAGACCGGGAGCCTACAGCATGTTTTATGTGTCTCATTTTTTCACACTCAGTAGTAAAAGAACCTCCCAAATTCCACGTTCCACTACACGGATATGAGCTCACCGAATAAAAATCGTGGACCAAAGGGTGGGGGCGTATGTCGCGAGTTACTGTAAATTAAGAAAAGGTTGGGCGGACGGCATTGCTGAACGTGTAGGGTGGATATCATAGACAAATAAAGAGAGGGGAGACATGACAATTCATTCATAAAACACTTTGTTTATCATCATACATACTCCCCAAAGTTTCAAATGAGTTTTTAATGAGAATCCGCCCGCAGCCACCAACATCAGTTAACTTCCATCTGGTTCGAGAATAGGACTTTCCCTTTAAAAGTGTCCAATTTGGCCCACCCTGTACAGGGGAGGCAGACCTATAAGTGTCTCCAGTGCCCTTGTTGGTGCCGTCTCGTTATGGCCAGGCAGGCAAGTTGTACTCTGTCTAGTTGAGTTTTTGATTTGCCGGTGACCTCATATTACAATAACTCCAAGTTCACTTGGAATGACCACATTGTAAACCGCGCTAAGAAGGCTGTATGCTGCTTCTGGGCATGCAGACGAGCCTTTGGAAAAACATGGGGTCTTACACCTAAGACCCTCCACTGGATATACACGGCATTAATTCGCTCAGTACTCCATTGTATGGGGGACCAGTACAAATAAGGGCAAAACCATAAGAGAACTGGATAAAGTCCAGGGACTGGCCTGCATGGGAATAACAGGTGCTCTGAGAACGACGCCTACCAGAGCTCTTGAAGATTTGTTAGATCTGCCGCGTCTACACCTGTTCATACAACAAGAAGTCATGAGAACTGCTTACCAACTAAACGGTGCAAACCAGTGGGTCGGAACAGAAGCAGATCATGGACATTCCCTCACATGGAATAAGGCAAAGGAAAACTGTCCCATTCTCATGGTGAGAAGGGACAGTACCTTGTCGATTCTGAACGTCAACAAAGCCCCAAACATTGTCATCCCTACGAGGGAAGAATTGAATGACACATCACCTGGCGTGCCTTCTCCCAATGAGTCAATCTGGTACACGGATGGCTCTAAATTTGGGGGCAGTTCAGGTGCAGGGGTATACAACGAAGGATCAAGAAAATAAATCTCGGTTCCTTTGGGCGAATATGCCTTAGTGTTGCAGGCTGAAGTACTCACAATATTTACCGGTGTCTAAGAAAACCTGATTATGAGAGGTCGTAGACCAATCACTTTATGCTCGGACAGCAAAGCTGCAATACTGGCTTTGCAATCCAATAGGATCACAACCAATTTGGTGTGCGAGTGCAGAAAGGTCTTGGAAAACCTGGCAAAATCAAGAAAAGTCAGCCTCATGTGGGTCCAGGGACACTCGGGGATACCCGGAAATGAGGAGGCAGACAGGCTGACCAAGATCGGTTCAGGACGGACCCCGGTCGGACCGGAACCAATCTTGGGAATACCAAACAGTCTGGCAATGTCCTCCATAGAGGGACAGCTGCAAAATCAATTCCTCAAAATATGGCAGGACACACCAGGAATGAGACAATCGAAGCTCCACATAAAGGAACCTTCGAAAAGACTCACAAAAGAGGTTTTATCCCTCAACAGGCGAGACCTTAAAATGGTAGTGGGGCTGCTAACGGGGCACAACCACCTCGTCGATGGTGCCTGGAAGATGACGAAACGTCATCGTATGTCCTCACTGAGTGCCCAGCACTGACACATCAGAGGAGGGCTGTCCTTGACACTATAATTTTGGGCCAGAGGACGTGAAAGAGATTCAGCTAAGGAAGCTGCTGAACTTCTTCAAGGAAGTCGGCATACCCAGCTGAATGTCGGAACATGTGGGCGCACAATGGGCCCGAATAAGGAGGCCTACGTGCAAGGGTGTTCACCTGCCCACCAGTGCTTCGAAGAAGAAGAAGAAGACCTCATATCCGTGTAGTGGAAGGTGGAATTTGGGGTATTCTTATACTGCTGAGTGTGAACAAATCAGACACAACAAACACGGCTCCTGGTCTAAAAGTTAACGGAACAAGAACAATACCGAACATTTTTTATTTTATTATTGTAGGATATGTGGGTTTGAAGAACCAGGGCGCCACCTGCTACATGAATTCTCTGCTCCAGACCCTGTACTTCACGAATCAGTTGCGGAAGGCCGTTTACAAAATGCCAACCGAATCGGATGATTCGACCAAGTCTGTGGCCTTGGCGTTGCAGAGAGTGTTCCACGAGCTTCAGTTCTGTGACAAACCTGTCGGAACGAAAAAATTGACAAAGAGTTTCGGATGGGAAACGTTGGATTCGTTTATGCAACACGACGTTCAAGAATTTTTGAGGGTACGATTTTTCAGAATGGCTTGGCGTGTCCTAATTTTTCATGGTGATATTTTTTTAGGTGCTCTTAGATAAATTAGAAAGCAAGATGAAAGGTACATGTGTAGAAGGGACTGTTCCTAAATTGTTTGAAGGAAAGATGATCTCGTACATTAGATGTAAAAATGTCGATTATTCTAGTACCAGATCTGAGACCTTCTATGATATTCAACTCAATATAAAAGGAAAAAAGAATAGTAAGTAATGGAAACGTGTGTTATAGCTTCTATCATTCTCTATTTTCGGTAATTTTTCTATTTAAATTCTTGATTGCACTCAAAAAATTCTGGAGATACTGATCAAGGAGTGAAGCTAAAAGAAATCGATTGCTATTTTCAACTTGGATTCACCGTTTCTAGATAGGAAACGAGTTATTTCACCAATATCACATTTCCGATTGAATGACGTCAATCATTGAATAAAAATATGTATTATCTCATATCTCTTTTGTTGATTGATTTCTATGGTAATGAAACATACACAATGGCGTTATCAAATTGTTTTTCATGTCATTCTTAGTTACCGAATTCTAAGAACACATTGTGAGATTTTTTAAAACAATTGTGGTGAATACATCGCGACCTAAAAGACCATTCTTATGCTAATTCTATATATAGTTTTTGATGATCTGCTACATTTGAATTATCTAATCTACCATATTTAAAATGTGCAAGATGTTCTTAGAACCTGGTTTTCATGAGTCGCCTAGTTTGACCTATCTATCTATCTATCAAGCTATTTTCAAACGAAAACCCTTCTAGTCGACGAGTCCTTCAAGGACTATATCGCCAAAGAGACCCTCGACGGCGACAACAAGTACGACGCCGGCGAGCACGGCCTTCAAGACGCCGAGAAGGGCGTCATCTTCTCGGCCTTCCCGCCCGTCCTGCACCTGCACCTCATGCGGTTCCAGTACGACCCCATCACCGACAGCTCGGTCAAGTTCAACGACCGCTTCGAGTTCTACGAGAAGATATCGCTCGACAGCTATCTGCAGGAGCCTGACGCCGCCGATCCGGCCGATTATACGCTGCACGCCGTGCTGGTGCACAGCGGGGACAATCACGGGGGGCACTATGTTGTCTTCATCAATCCCAAAGGTGAGGATCTCGAACTACATGACACCGCGATTCGTTCATAAATCGTTGAAAAGTATACGTCAAAAATCCCAAACACCAAACAGGGATAAATAAATGAAATCCCGAATGGTGGGGATAATTCTGCGAAATTGTTGATATTCTCAATTGATATTATTCATATATCCTGTAAAGCGGTTCAAGTTCTACGAGAAGATATCGCTTGATAGTTAACTGCAGGACCAAGTGTACGCCAACAATCTAAACGCCAAACACTGTTGAAAGAATGAAATCAGGAATGGAGGGGATAATTCTGCAAAATGATTAATATATTTCATATATCTATGGAATGCAAGAAGATATCACTCGGCAGCTATCTGGCCGATTATACGCTGCACGCGGTGCTCGTACACAGCGGGGATAATCACGTGGGGCACTATGTTGTCTTCATCAATCCCAAAGGTGAGGATCTCGGACTACATGACAATAATAGATAGACACCGCGATTCGTTCATAAATGTTGAAAAGTATACGCCAACAATCCAAAACTTCAATCAGGGATAAATGAATGAAATCACGGATGGTGGGGATAATTGATATTCTGAATAGATATTATTTATATATCTTAAAAATCGGTTCTTGTTCTACGAGAAGATATCACTTAATAGTTACCTGCAGGAGGAAGTGTACGCTCACAACCCTAAACGCCAAACACTGATAAAGGAATGAAATCAGGAATGGGGATAATCCTGCGAAATCATTGATATATTTCATATATTTAATGAATACGAGAAGATATCGCTCGGCAGCTATCCGGCTGATTATACGCTGCACGCGGTGCTTGTGTACAACGGGGACAATCATGGGGGGTACTATGTCGTCTTCATAAATCCCAAAGGTGAGATTCATTCATAAATCATTGAAAAGTATACGACAACAATCCTATACGCCAAACACCAATAAATGAATGAAATCACGAATGGTGGGGATAATTCTGTGGAATCATTGATATTCTTGATAGAAATATTTCATATAGATCTAATAGATCGGTTAGAGTTCTATGAGCTATGAGCTCAGGCTGAAGCCTGGAGATATAATATTAGTCCCTGGGTAATACTGATATTTTTTACTACCTTGGTGTATAAATAACTATCAAGCTGTTATGCTATTAAAGATATCACCTCAGATAAATAAGGAACCCTAGATAGGCCCGACGCGAACATAACTGTTGGAGTTGGAGAGCCGAGGTGAACTGAAGATAACTTTATTTTTATCTACATCGATGTTAAAAAGCTTCGAATTCCTATTGGCAAAATGCATATATTTTATGGAATGTTGATACATTTTGACGCTGTTTTTGTATCTATTCACTTTAGGTACTCAGGTTGATTGATTCGAGCATAATAGATATCTACACGATGAAACTATTGTCTCTACTTGCTCGTTTGTTTTAGGTGATGGAAAATGGTGTAAATTTGACGACGACGTGGTTTCGAGGTGTACAAAACAAGAAGCGTTAGAACATAATTATGGTGGACACGATGAAGACATGAATATGACGGTGAAGCATTGTACCAATGCATATATGTTGGTTTATATTCGAGATTCTGAGCTACATAATGTTCTGCAAGAAGTAAGTTGACTCGGACTTTTTATGAATATTAGGGGTCATAGTCACTTAACTACATTTCAATTTAGAAACACGGGGTTTTGGTGTTGAAACTAAAGGGATGCATTTTTTAATTCAAATTTGGTACATATTATAATTTTCTCTTCAAAAACTATGATTTCTGACAATAGCGGAATGTGGTATTTTATTTCTTCAATTTTTTCTATCTATTATTCGAATTCTTCATTGAATTTCGTTGAAAAACATTTTAACTTCAAATGGACAGTTTCCAGACATTCTACCCAAAATGAAAGCTATTATTTCAATACACTGCCATTGAAAATTTAAACATTTCCCTATGTAAGCTTCAATTCCACGTGAATATTTCTAATACGGTTGTTCCAAGCTAAATTAGAGGTTATGTGTATCTTCAATACTGAACTGGTATTGAATTTTTCACATTCAAGAATTACACTTGTGTTGTTACAGACCTCAGAAGTTTCTTCTTAGCATTCAAATGTGTATTTGTTGCAAATCATAAGCCAATGCGCTGTTCCAAAGTTATTGAACATTATCGGCAAGACCTGAACTGAACACGTGCTATATGACCAAATATTTGGTAAATATCTGTTGGTAACATTTGCAATTAATTGAATTAATAATTTTTTTAAGGCTTAAAATGCAAAAATAAAGTTAATCCTGGTAATTAGGAATGAGTCGACTTTTTGTATATGGACATTCGAATTATGAGGAAAAATACTATGAAGTTAGTTTTCCTGCAAAAAATATCTGATATCGTTATATAAAAAATCCACTCTTTTTATTCCAATAAAAACGCAACGACATTGTCAATAATGATTATGTACTCTGAAAAATTTATAATATTGATTGTTATTCATCAGTCCAAATTTGGTATGAATCACAGGACTGAGATATAGAGGAAGGAAGGGAGGGAGGCATTTAAACACGTGTTTCTTTGAAAAATAACGGATCTACACTTATTCAAAAGTTTGTATGATTCTTATGATTTGTGAATCAACTTGTTGTTCTTCTCATTTAGTTTTTGGGTTCAGTTAATAACAGTTTTTTTCTGAAACTTCGTATATTCACCATTGCAGATAGGTATGATTATGTGTAACCTTTTTGTTTCATATTTTGTTTTGTGCGATTTTTTCTGCAAATGAGGAATGAAGACGATTTATTATCAATACTATTATAATATCATTGTACATCTGATACAACCTGTATATTAGTATTATCATAATATCACCATCACGTCACCGACCGCTTGGCCGAGGAGAAGCAGATGGAGCAGGTGCGCCACAAGGAGCACAACGAGGCCCACCTATACATGAAGACCATTTTGAATACTTTTTTCTTGCTTGAAAGATGAAAATGATGAATTTTCGATCGATAATTCATACAATTTCATAGGTTTTATAGTCGGGAGTGTGGATGTCGAGTTGAAATTGATACTAAAATAATAAGTAGCCTTGTTTGTTGAATTCAATGCAATACGTAAAAACTTAACAAATGTTAAGATTTCCACAAAATTCACACATGTTTCGCTAACACAGTAGCTTCATCAGGTGATATACTGGTACAATGACCTAAACTAATCTTGGCTTGCCAAACTTTTATCTCCTATTTTCCCAACCTGAAGGATTAGTTACCTGTGGACAGCTTCAATAAACCTTCATTTTCGGAAATTAGGCACAATATCTACTACCCATTGGTGCATGAAGTAACTTTTTTCCAAATCTCTATATTCTGAAGATGTCTACTCATTCAAATATACCCAGAGAATGATAACTCATGACGAATAATTTTTTTTCACAACAGATTTTTTTTATATGACACGTCCATTTTAATGGACTCTATGCAAATTGGTTCATTGATGAAAGTGATCAGTAGGGAATTTCAGTATTCATTTTCATTCAAGTACATATCCAGAACATGAAAAACTCAATAACATCAATCACAATATTATCAATAATAATAATAATGATAATAATAATGAAAATTATACATCATGATGACTTACATGATACATTTTGAAGCATCTCTCAGATGCAGTCCTATTTTACATATAAAATTGCAATTTTGTATACTCTACTGAATGGAATTCAGCTGATGGGTATATGGAAATGCATCATATCAGGAAATTATTTGGGATGATACTTCCAGACCTTTTTTCGGTGCTCCTCACACGATCCAGTGGAAGGAAATTTGAACCCGTTGAAGAAAAAGAGGAGTCGAACGAGTGGATGGAGTCGTGTCTATAGTTGACGTGCTGCAGTATAACGTACAATCATTCGATGCTATAATATTCCTTTTCATAATGCAAAGATGTATATTATTTTCAATTTTATCAAAATCAGGATCAGAATAACGAAAGTTGCACGGCTGTTTGATAATTCCTTTAGAAATATGATTTATTATGGATTCGCAGTTTCTGAATTCGAATAACTGCATTTCTGCCAACTTTTCTTCTGGTGGCAATATAATATATGATTATCTGTTGGTTGATCGATATCTGAGCCATTTTCCATATGTCTAAGAGGTGTTTCGAGAATGATCTACAAAAAAATCTTGATGACCGATATGCATAGAGTCCATTATAATGGACACAACACAAAAGCAATATTTTGAGTGTCTTACAAAAAAAATAATTATTCGAATTACCTTATAGGTTCATAAACACATGCATATAATTAGATCTTGAGGGATAGGAAATTCTGAAATTCATAATACTCCGTTATAATAAATACTTATCCTCCTTGTCGGGTGCAATACAAATTGTTATCCATTTGATCACGTGCAGAATATTGTCGAGATACAAATTCATGAAATAGAAGCGATAGCTGTTTGTTGTTGAACTACACTTATAGTTCTGGCGCATGAAACATTCAATTCCTGCATGATTGACGTCAGAAAAAATTTGACAAGGAGCGTCCATTATAAGACACATTATGCACTAATGGGTTAAAATACTGTGTACTGGATTAACTTGAAAGGGTTGATGAGCAAATAGATATTATTACCTACTAAGAAAATAAATTCAACAGTGGTGAACTATTGAGATCTAGTTGATCGTTAAGTAAAATGTCAGAATTTTTGAGTTTGTCGATTTCTAATGATTCAAAATGATTGACTTTTATTCCTTTATTTTCTACGTGTAGAATTTCGAAATTATCATCATTACTATGGTTTTCTTCTAATACATGGTTGGCGTATGTTGAATTTGTTTTCTTTTTCAAAATATTCATCTGATGTTCACAAACCATAAGATTTCCACAAAATTCTCAAATACATGACATGTTTCGCTTACACAGTAGCTTCGTCAGTTGCAACCTTGGCTTGCTTATATATCCTACTTTCCAAACCTGAAGGATTAGTTACCTCACATAAACCTCCGTATTTTAGTGTAGATATTGTGCCTAATTTCCGAAAATGGAGGTTTATCGAACCTGTCCACAGGTAACTAATCCTTCAGGTTGGGAAGGTAGGATATATAAGCAAGCCAAGGTTAATTTAGTTCATCGTACCAGTATATCACCTGACGAAGCTACTGTGTTAGCGAATCATGTCTTGTGTTTGAGAATTTGGTGGAAATCTTATTGTTTGTGAAGTTCTTACATTTGTCATGGATTTCCATCAAGTAACCACCGAGTCAATTCAAAATATTCTTCTGATGTTCATGAATGCGCTGATTAAACGTACGACCTGTCTGACCGATATATACCTTAGGGCAAGATCTACAGTTGAGTTTGTATACCCCTGATTTTTCGAGAAGTCAATATCACGCTTGTGTTTATGTTCAGCCTGCTATGAAAAGAGTTTGTTCATGATTAAGAAATTTTGGAATTGATAAACAAAGACGTGACACAACACGCGGGTCAAATTGACCCGTAGTAAATGTTGAGGTTTTTTCAGCTTCATGAAAAAGATATTCAACTGAGCATGTGATATTAATTATGGATATACATTAAAATAAGAGAGAAAAAAACTGGAAGAACATACTGGGCAGGTATTTTTCGCACACTGTCCCTAAAAAGGGATTGAGCACTTGTGGCAGCTATTGCTGGCTTTTCTGTCATTTCGACAATGATAGACACCGCATCTTTTTCTTTTTTATGCGCCAACTCTTTGTTTGACCCCATGGGATGTGTTGGATTCGGTATTTTCATTATACCAGATGCAATAGAGCGAACATTGTATGGTATACTCTCGGATCCATTTTCTGCGTTACAAAAATTATTTGTAAATAAGTTAGACAACTCTCATTGTAGGATATCACTACTGAGTAAGAATTCAATCCAGACTTATGTGAAAAATGGCAGGGAAACCTCCAACGGTTAAATGATTATCTTACCTACCTATACAAACAACAATGGCAAACACCATATAAGATTTGAGACATCTCAACTACCCACGGGTCTGAATGACCCAAAACAGGTCACTGGCGATTCCTGCGAATTCTGTCGCTCTCATGTTTACAGCAAACTGTAGAAATATATATTACAGGAGAATTTCAGAGAGGGCAACATATTCGTGTGAGTGTCAAAGATACAGTATTTCGAACATATCACTGGGTCAATTTGACCCGTGGGTAGTACTTGAGGGTTAATGATTTTAACAGAATTTCGAGAATATCACCGTAATTGTGACAATGTCATCATCAAAATCAGGTCACCGACGCCGACATCCCGACCGAGCTGGCCGACCGCCTGGCCGAAGAGAAACGGATGGAGCAGGTGCGCCGCAAGGAGCGTAACGAGGCCCACCTCTACATGACGATCAACGTGCTGCTGGAGGACGCGTTCGACGGCCATCAGGGCAACGACCTCTACGACCCCGAGCGCGCCCTCTTCCGCGTCTTCAAGATCAAGAAGATGGCGACCGTGGCCGAGATGATGGAGATGCTGGCCGACGCGTTCAAGTACCCGCCCGAGCAGATCAGGCCGTGGCCGTTCAGCCAAAGGTAGTATTTTTCATCTAACTGAATCTTTTGTTCAACCTTTTATCGGATTTGCAATGGTTCATCTGTTTCTCATGAATAACGAAAAAGTTTCTGTTATCGATCGGAAATATCGAACGGAAATAGTTCTGCATCTTTTTTTCATGATTGCGCTGATTAAGCATACGACCTGTCTGACCGATATATACCTTAGGACAGTTGAGTTTGTATACCCCTGATTTGTAAGGTTTTTTCCAGTTTATTCAAATTACCTATATGTTTATTCCAATGTATATTTTGTAAACGTTTTTGAATAAACTTATATTATTATGGGCAGAGAATCGAGGGCATGTCATCAGTATATGCAAACTTCACGGTATGAACTTTAGAGCTATTCGATATATTCAATATTTGCATCATGCTTCACCATGGAGATGTTGGCAGATGCTTTCAAGTACGTACCCGCCCGAGTAGATCAGGCCGTTCAGCCAGAGGTTTTATTTTCTATTTAACGGAATCTTTTGGGTCACCTTTTATCGGAATTGGCATGGTTCATTATTTGTTTCTCATGAATAACGGAAAAGTTTCTCTCATCGATCGGAAATAACGAACAGAAATAGTTCTTCGGAATCATGGGCAGAAAATCGAGGGCATGCCAGGGCAGTATATGCATATTTGACGGTATGAACTGTGGAGCTATTTTATATATTCAATATTTGAATCACGCTGGAGATGTTGGCAGATGCTTTCAAGTATCCGCCCGAGTAGATCAGGCCGTGGCCATTCAGACAGAGGTAGTATTTTCTTTTTAACGAAATTTCCCTGAAAATTGTTGAAAATCTTCCATTGAATGCCCTCTCTGTGTTGGTTGCGCATATCAATGTTTCATTCCAGTCCGGCACTTTCCCAGATTTTCTGAAAACTTCTGTTGTCATCCCTTTGCATAAGGGCGGAGACATAGATAATCCATCTAATCTTCGGCCGATCTCTTTAATTCCAACTATTGCCAAAATCATTGAAAAACGAATTTTTGAAATCCCACAATGTTATCAGTGACAATCAGTTTGGTTTTCCAAAAAAAAAAAAAAAAAAAAAAAAGCAATATTATCATTTCTGTTTAAAGTTCATTCGGAAATAAATGCAGGTGAGATTTCCGCGGCGGTGTTTTGTGACATATCAAAAGCATTCGACTGTGTTGATCATGGAATACTGCTGAGAAAGCTTCATCAGTATGGATGCAGAGGAATGACATACAGATGGTTTGAATCATATTTATCAGGAAGAAATCAAATGGTCAAAACGACAGAACTCTCCAAGAAGAGAAATATTGATCATGGTGTTCCACAGGGATCTGTGTTAGGACCTGTACTTTTCTTATTGTATGTCAACGACCTCACGAAAATTGATATAACTGGAAAGTTCACTCTATTCACAGATGATACTACTATATTATGGAATAGTAGGAATCCTCGAGATCTGCATCAAATGATATCATCTGATTTGAAAAAGGTGAAAGATTGGTGTGACGCCAATATTCTGTCGTTCAATATATCTAAAACTAGTATAATATCATTCAGATCCTCCCTTGATGAAATCACATTTGGTGATAATTTTATTGAAAGTAGAAATGATACTAAGTTTCTGGGATTGTTGATCGACAAAAATCTGAAATTTGGTAACCACGTCAAGATACTCACTGGTAAGATCTCTTCTGGATGTTATGCAGTGAGAGTGATTTCTAGGGAGTTTGGATTCCATACTGCCAAGATGGTATATTATTCACTAATAGATTCCCAATTACGATATGGAATACCTTTTTGGGGAGTGTGCAGTCCAACGTCTTTGAAAACTCTGTTAATTCTACAGAAACGAGCGATAAGGTATTTGTGTAATGTCAAACCTCGAGATTCTTGCAGAATTTTATTTTCCAATAATAAAATATTGACAGTGATTGCACTATTCATTCTGGAATCTGTTTGCCTGATAAATAAGCACAAGTTGAAATTCACTACAACTCCCATCCATCATAACACGCGTAACAGAAATTTCAGTTTGAAACTTCCTCTACCCACAAGAGAGTACATTAAAGATTCCATATACTATAATGGTGGAAAAATGTACAACCACTTGCCAGTTGATATTAGATCAGCAAGTCTGAATGACCGTCAATTCAGGATGGGTTAACTTGCATCACATTTGAAATGGTTCATGTGTTTCCCATAAATCACGAAAAAGTTTCTGTCATCGATCGGAAATATCGAACGGAAATAGTGCTGCGGAATCATGGACGGAAAATCGAGAGCATGCCAGCGCAGTATATGCATACTTCACGATATAAACTGTGGAGCTATTCAATATATCTATTATTCTACTTTGCAAATTAGACGTGGAGCATTTATTTCTACTGTAGATTTATAACGACTTGATTCAAATAGATGAAAAATAACAGTCAAAATCAAATGATTGACACCCTGTAGCTCGAAAACTGGTCATAGGATCGATCTGAAAATTGAACTTTGTAATAAGGACGCTAATATCTGGAACGTATCAAATTTTCAGAAAAATTTGCCGAAAGCCACTTTCTGTACTAAATGTGCTGGGTCCTTTCTCGAAACCGTCCTGAAAACGTCCAAACTACACCCAAGGCGCCTTATCCACTATTAAACAGTCCAAAGCGACTGCCACCAAAGCGACCTGGGCGCTCTAGGCGTTTTCCGGCCCTAATCCGTTTGGGCTCATATCCGATTGCCCATCAATTCCTAATAACCAGTCGACTTACTAAAATCCGCCCATCCAGGTCCAACCAGACGATACGCCCCAGCGTCCAGGACCTCGAAGCCGACCTCCACAAGCCGGTCATCGACGCCGCCGAGAACATGAACCCGTGGAACGTGTTCCTGGAACTACTGCCGTCCGATTCGGGCCAATCGGCGTTGCCCGCCTTCGACAAGGACACCGACGTGCTGCTCTTCTTCAAGATGTACGACCCGAAGCAGAAGAAGATCCACTATTGCGGCCACAGCTATCTGCCCGTGACGAGCCAGCTGAGCGACCTGGTGGGGCTGTTGAACGAGAGGGCGGGTTTCCCGCCCGACACGGAGCTGTTGCTCTACGAAGAGATCAGGCCGAACATGATCGAGAAGATAACGAATTTCAACGATCCGTTGGAAAAGGTAGGCGGGGCGGGTTCGATGTAGCAGTTACGGCTAAATATCTAGACCATTGTCGTTCTAGATGACAACCTAGTTAGGTAGTTGCAGGAGCTATAATATTGTCTGTTCATTGAAAAGACAATTGAAGAAAATATGTACTTCAGAGACATCTATGTGAACTAAGTAAACTAAGTTATTCATATGTTATTCCTAACCCATAACATTTTTCATGGTCCTGTCAAGTTTGTAAATAAAAATCTGTCATGTTGAAACCCGAAAGTGAAACATTATCACGAAAGATATTATCAAGTATGAAAACCATCTACCTATACTTGAATGGAACCAGGGAGATGTTTAGGCAATGCTGTATCAGGTTGACTTATGATGCAACTTGAATTTAAGTTGGAACTGTGGAAACTTCGGAAACTCATCAGTGCTTTTACACTTTTTCGACATGCAAGCCAAGCAGAAAGGTAGGGGCTGCTTAATTATTTCCTTCTATTTTTTTGAGAAGTTACTATATAATTCATGGAATTCCGTTATTTGCAGTGAAAACATGTTTTTAGTGATGTAAACTATGTACACATCGGAATCACTATACTTGAAAATTTCAGGTACCTACCTACAGCGAAGAGTACCTACATGAATAGCTTTCCAGTTGAAAAACGAAAAACTATGAGTGATACAAACAAATTGATGTGGAAGAATCACATCTGGAATCATTATGTGAGTAATGGAGGATGATGATGTTTGAGAACAGAATGGAAAATTTCCCATCTGAAATGAATATATAGAAGCAATAAGGTTAGACTCAATCTGTTTATTTCATCAATGTCCTATGGATATTCTGCTCCAAACACAAAATATCAAGATGCTGGGATATTTAGAATTTTTTTTATTGGAAAATAACTTGTATATGTACGAATGACAATACAAATATATTTTTTAATAAATTGAATATAATTATATAATATTCAATACCAATATGTATAACTTTTTGATTTCCATAGGAATATTCAATACCAATATGTATAACTTTTTAATTTATATTATGTAATCATTTTGAATAAACGTCATTATTATTTATTATCATTCTATAATATCTGTTCAAATGCCCGTTTCCTCCTCAGATGCTTCTTAATCTTCAGGTCGTGTTCCTTATAAGGAAGAAAGAGTTCCTCTTCAGCATCATATTCCAAACTAAATTGATGAGTCTGAAACTATAAAAATATTTGATATTTATTTTGTCAGTTCCAATGATATGTACCATTCTGAAATGAATTTGATGACAATTAACTATGGAACAATTTTTAGAGGTCCCAAAGTCAAGTTGGTAATTTTTGTACTGAAACTAATAGTTCCAGTCAACTAGAAACTAATAAGCTGAATGCTACAAAAAGTTTGTATAAGTAGGAACTTGTTAAATATCATTTTATTTATATATACCTTCCTTTAACAAACTTGGAACCGAACCCTCCTTCCAAAACCGTTTCCAATTCTTCATTGGCAAGAAACAGTTCCCTTAAAATGTTGGAAACATACAGTATCATGTTCGCTCACTTCAAAAACTCCCATTCCTGAAATATCAATGCATAAAGTTTCAAATATTATGCGATTCAAGAAAAAAATTTCACCTTGCAATCCAATGAATATGGCATAAACTCATTGATGCCTCAGGATTTGTGGCTCAAATTCACAACAGTGAGGATAGGGGAAACCAGGTCTTGATAATTTCACACCTCCACCTCCTGGAGTGCGAAGTTTTTAAGAATACGAATTCAAAGTATAACATATTCACAAAGACGAAGTTATAAGTCAATGACAACTGTCAGAAAATAATTTTTTGATTATGACATCTCAATCTCATGAAAGAATCTTCTTCATCGCCTTTGTATCAAATATCACGTCAATGATGGAAAGCACATCTGTGGTTGAGTAAATATTGGAAAAAAATAGAAGAAGAGAATATCAACCTAATATGGTCTATTTTGACATAAACAAATGAGCTCTTTCCATTTTCTCATCCCCAGCGCCACTTGACAGACAGACATATTTTGATTGAATGAACAGACAATATTATACCTCCTCGCACTAGGTCGCCTACTAGGTTTTCATTTAGATCGACAATGTCTAGACTGTCTGTCGGGTTTTACATGACTGTTCATTCAGCGAAAATCGCCAAAATCGCCCTGTAATGGAATTTCGAAGGGACGACATGTGGCGTCATCTATTTCCTGTGTCAAATGAGCTATTCAACATAACCTTAATAATTTTTTAACAAATTTTCTCATTGTCAGCCTTTCACTCACTGTCATTCGAATTTGGAGACCTTTGTTCGAGATATCAAGAAAAAATGTGAAAGAAGCAACAAAATGAAGTGGTTTGGAGTGTTCATGACAAATAACTATTATATGCATACAGTTTGTATAATATTTTTTTGCGCGTACGTCACAACTCCAAAAACGAATCAAATCAATTCAAGGCCAGTGAAGCAGTGCCGTGCTGCTTCTGAAATTGGGCTAAAATAAATAATAATATTCAGAAAATTTTTGTTCAGTACTCCAGGTCATTTTGACTAAGAAACATTCAATAAAACATAGGATTGGTATATATTTCAAGTTTGAACTCTTCAATTTGTCAATTTGTTGAAGGAAAAAAACATGTATCAGAACTTTGGTATGTATATATGTATGGGTATATGACATGATGAACACATATATTTGATGCTTTTGCGAGGTATTCTGTAATCGTGGCAAAGCCGAACACTGTTGAGTCGTTTTAGTATCGTAGTATTATACCACGTACAGATCATGTTGTGGAAATGCTGATACATTTTTGTGTAACTTGGAGCGACTACTTACGAAACACACAAAACCTTTTATGCATATAATCGTTTTGGGTGATTTCAATATAAATTTCAAAGTTAACTCTAGTATTCTCAGTAGTTTGACAAATTTAATGCAATGTTTTGGACTTGTAGCAACTATCTCTGATTTTACTAGGATAAGTGCAAACGCAGCAAGCTGTATTGACAATATACTGACTGACATAAACACTGACTCCATCATGACTGGTGTCCTGGATCCATGTATTGCTGACCATCTGGGACAGTACATTATATATGGAAGCCATGAACCTGCTTATGTGGAATCTCATGAATACAGGCCATTCACAAATAGCGGCATACGGCCAGCATGAAGTGCAATAAATCGTTTCCCATCATAACCTTCTGCTTTACGAATACTTTTTGAACTTTGATCTTGCCTTTGCCTTTGTACTTTGATCTTGCTATGATTTCATCTTATTCCCTTTCGCAAATATCCAAGTTTCATCTAAGAAGACGAATTGTTCAGGATAAAACTTTCTGACAAACTCTGCTCTCATTATGGATATGTCCGTCTTCTCAACCAATAACCGTCTGTTGTCTTCTTTTTTATATTTGAATCCTACATTTGTGAGGAGTTTGCTCAATGTGCCTATACTTGCGTCAAGAATATGTTTAGTTCTGAGTTCTTTTTTCAAAATTCTAAGAGTGATGTGTTTTTCTGTGAAATAGTCAGTTGAAGGTAGTCAAGAAGTATCAAATGAAATCACTTACTTTCTGCACACATAGTATATATAAATCATCACATTGCGTACTTCCATTTTCAAATTATCATTCAGATCTACTGTCTTGGGTTTTTTTTAGTCCTAGATTTCCCTGACATACTCAAACTTTCGTTTCTCTCAGAACAAGTATCAAATGAAATCACTTACTTTCTGCACACATAGTATAATTATATAAATCATCACATTGCGTACTTCCATTTTCAAATTATCATTCAGTTCTACTGTCTTGGGTTTTTTTAAGTCCTAGATTTCCCTGGCAAACTCAAACTTTCGTTTCTCTCAGAACGTACTTTAATACTCGAAACTGTCCGCAGACTAATATTGAGGGTATCAGCGAGACGCTAAAATTATGTACATCATGAATCAAGAATTATGATTTACCTGTTTTATGGAAGTAAACGGGATTAAAGGACCATTATTATCTTTCTCTCTTGTGAAATATTGTCACAAATTCGATACAAGACTTTGTGCTTGTGAATTCAAACGTCTTCCTGTCTGAATTAGCCGATTCAAATGTGTCTCGAACACCTCTGTATTCTAGCTTTTAACCCGTTGAGTTCAAAAACGATGTCGTAACTTATGTCAACAAACGTCATGATAGACATTGCTGCTCTATATGCAAGTCTGAAGAGGATAGCAAGATGCGCGTAGGTCTATGCTGATTTCAGTCACACGCAAAGAAATATTATACAGACTGTAAATAATAATGCTATTCAAGTGGAAAATAATCTTCGTCATTTCGTAAATAGATAAGGACATGTGCAATAATTTCATTCATTGATTTCTGAATTTCAAACTGCCTAATAAGGGCAATGCTAGATTTGAAAATCTGAAATACCTACCTAATATGTATAATGTTATGAACCCCATTTTCATGTTGCCGATTTCCATTGTAACAAAATTCTTTACTTTTACTCATCTTGTGGATATTGATATTCATTTGCCTACCTAATAACCAGATACTGCTGTATTCTCAAAGTGGAATGTAACAAATTATAGCACTATTGCAAATATGAAATATGGAAGTGGTTCTGCTCAAGTTTATTGGGATTCCCAAATTATTAACTAAACGTGTGATAAAGAGGGGGTATTTGTTGAACAATTATTCAACTTATGCTCTGCAAGTGACTTATTTTTGGTGTCACTTGTATCACGATAAACTGCTTCACATACAATAGCCGAGTGGACTAATTTTTTTTCATTTCCTAAATAGAATCATCACTCAAATCCCTTTCAATTTCATATTCTTTAAGCATTTTTTGGTCGATTTTCAGGTGCTAATATCATCAATAATGCCACGGTAATTGTCAAACGGCTAGAAATTTACCGCCAGTAAAAACTGTCGCCACGATTTCGTGAGTTGGGGCAGACCATAGCATTTTCAATTGAGTATTGGTAATACTCCTAATTAGCAATAAAAATTCAATTGTCTCAAAATGTTTCCTTATGATTTGTGACTTATTGCCTATGATAAATTTGTAAATATTAATTATATTGAGTCACACTAGAGGACATTTAAATCGGTGAACGTGACAACCACAGTGCACGACTATGGGCGTGGTCTTGTCAGCTCTCAGCATTCAGCACAATGTTGCCAAGTCTCCAACATTCACGTGATATTTTGTTATGGAGAATAAGGCCCTCCGCACACGGGTCGATCGGCGACATGGGCGACGCGATTCGAATCGTACGACGGTCTCCCCTCTACTCGACTTCCTAAGCAAAGCATTTGGATCCCGCACACGGGTCGTTTAGTGGTCGTCTAGAAACGTACGATTTAAGATCTCCTCGTTTTCAGTCTCACGCGATTAGCAAGGAAGCAGTTTGATCGAGTGAATCTTGCGTCTCAATGGAGAAAGTTGTTCAATAATTTTTCAATCATTGTGAATATTTGTGTTACCTACCTTAGTTCTTTACTTTCAGTAACTAGAACATATAATCTTATGTTTCCAATTTATACTCTCAACTTTAGGAATTGTTTGATTTTTTGAAATATATGAATCTTACATCAATGTTATTAGTATGTGTTCTTCTGCGCTGACACATTCCCTCATATTTGAATCCATATAATTTATGGCTGGAGCAAGAGTTTCCACTAAATCAATATATGATTCCTTCGACATTCTATAAAATGCCAGAAATTTTGTGCACCCATAAACTTCGTTGTCTTCTTCTTCTCCTGATCTGCCGGTGCCACAAAAACATGAATATGTCCTCCTCGCCATTGAAACTGCTCATTTTTAGCGAAACATTTCTTTTTGAAGTTGCAAAAAATAGAGTAACTAAGTTGATCAGACGCGAGTCGACTACACAAAACGTCGACCCATATGCGGATGACACACACTCCCGTCTCTTTAATCGTACGAATGCAGAAATTGTGACGTCATTGCAATCGCGTCGCCCATGTCGCCGATCGACCCGTGTGCGGAGGGCCTAAGAAATATTTGGACATTCTGGTTGCTCGAAAAAGCCAAGAATGAACTTTAACATCATGGGTTCCTCCTATTATGCTTTATTTAACGACATGACTCTATCATCTTTTTGATAACTAGATTATCATTGGTGACTTGACAACCTTGCTTCATGAGTGGAAATGGAAGATTATCTGATAAATCTATTCACAATAAAAAGTGAGATAGGAGATTGTCTTATTTCCAGGTATTAGAAGAATTAATGGACGGTGATATAATAGTTTTCGAGAAGGAAGAACGAGAAGAACTCTCCGACCTACCCACATGTATAGATTATTTCAAGGATTTGTTTTACCGTGTAGAAGTGACTTTCATCGATAAGTGCATACCGAACGACCAAGGTTTCACGATGGAGCTCTCGCAAAGAATGACATACGACCAGTTCGCCAGGGCGGTCGCTCAAAGGGTCGGGACGGACCCTTATTTGTTGCAATTTTTCAAATGCCAGAGGTGAGACACTGAATTTGTTTCATCTTGATATTGAAGGGGCATTTTCAAGTATCCGCCATGGTCCAGTATGTGGGTATATCGAATAGGGGTGTTTGGATGCAAAATGTGGGGTAGTAGTGATTGAAAAGGAATATTCTCAGATATAATTATGAACACAAAAAAAATGGATATATACAGTGTGACCCACTTCTAATGGAAACACCACTGTATTTCATTTGCTGGAGCTAGAGATATACCAAAAATGCACTCTATGACCAAGTAGGGTCATCTTCAGTGATATACATTGCTCGCCAACAGCCATGGAACCACCCCAATTTCCGGAAAATGATATTAGGAGTCAAAATAGGTCAAAAAACAGTTCAGATTCGGAATCTGGACGCCCAATTCACTATCAATTCATATTTTTCCTGGGACATTTTCAGTTCTGAACTTTTTACGGATGCACTCCCGTATCTTACGTAATTGACTTTATCTTTGGACTTTCCCTTCCTCCTGCAAATTTCAGAACCCTACCTCAATAATTACGTGAGATTCGGGGGTGCTTCCATGAGAAGTGAGACAAAATGTACTATTTCTGAACTGAAAATTTTGTAGGAAAACTATGAATATTTAGTGAATTGGACGTCCTGATTCCGAATCCGAAGTGATTTTCAACCTATTTTGACTCCTAATATCATTTTCCGGAAATTGGGGTGGTTCCATGGCTGTTGGCGAGCAATGTATATCACTGAAGATGACCCCACTTGGTCATAGAGTGCATTTTTGGTATATCTCTCGCTCCAGCAAATTTCAGGATCCTTACCCAACGATTACATAAGATACAGGGGTGTTTCCATTACAAGTGGGTCATTCTATATATAAAGAAATACAGTCGTATTCAATAAAAAAGCGTACAAGTATAAAAAAGAGAGGATTTCGGGATCCTAGTTCTAGTTGTGTAAAATTGGCTCAGCCAATGCTTTGTGTTTTCGAGAACCTATGACAACTTTACTGTCAACATTTGGTGAACAATCATTCCCGATAGCCCGTTTTATGCAGGATAGGATGACGTTAATTTCTCTCTGTAATATACTAGTACGCTTTCTTCTTGAATGCGACTGTACATTGAGAATTCGCATTCTCCATGTGATGAAAATATTAATTCTTTCTCGGTTTATTTCACACGGGGACCTGCTTTGCTGGTTCTCCTCATACATATATAATAGAACACAAATTGTTACAGTCAACGGACATCAATCGACCCCATATGTTGTAACCTCCGGAGTACCCCAGGGTTCACATTTGGGGCCTCTTCTTTTTATTATATATCTAAACAACATAAAGTCTTGTTTCGAATTCTGTAAATTCATATTATATGCTGACGATCTCAAAATATTCTCTCAAGTAAGTAGTTTAACCGATTGTTCCTTGATCCAAAATGATTTGAACAGATTTTTTAACTTCTGTCAAATCAATAAACTCCATTTGAACTTGGATTAATGTTGCTTTATCTCTTTTACTCGAAACCACAACATCTTCTCATACGATTTATCAAAATGTAATAGAACATCAGGGTTCATAATCTGACATTGCAGAAAATTCACCTCTCTTCATGCCATGAAAACCTTATTCTACTCCTTTGTATACAGTAAATTGAATTTTGCAAATGTTATCTGGCCACCACAATACGCTATATACAAGACTAGATTGGAAATCATACAGAATAAATTTTTAAGATATCTTGAATATAGAAATAGTGGGGAATATAACATTACTTACAACTAGTACAGCCTTCCTGAGAAACAAATTTCATATGGTCACACTACAGGCTCGTCGAGAGCAATCTGACATAATATTTTTATTCAAAATTATGAATGACTTAATCGACCCCTGAAATTTTGTCAAATATATATCTCAATGTTCCAACTCGTTCTCTGAGGAATACTCGTCTCTTCTCTGAAACGTTTTGCAGAACAAACTTAGGAAAAAACTCTCCCCTACATAAACTGCTCCACATTTGAAGTGAGACAAGCGAACATTTTGTTTGTTTTCGAACCGTGATAACTTTGGATGAGATCAACCGATCTTTGATTAGTTTTGAGATTGTGATTGCCCAGTTGATTGGCTATAACATATTTTTTTTACGTTTCTTCACCATTTCAGAATTATGACCTACAGGATATCTGAAAGTGTGATAATTTCCGAAAAGTTTGAGGTCGCCCCGTTAGCAGGATAATTTTTTTAAATTTTTCGGACGGCAAAAACATGAACCCTAATGTGTTTCCTCGAAATGGTTTCGGATTCATCAAGATCCATACAGGATGTTTTGAGATATGCAATATCATGGATTAGCAAAAGTGATTTCGTGATTGAACGAAAAACCTTCAGGGTTAGTTCGCAGGGAGGAATAAAGTGAATCGTTCTCGCCATACTAAAATCCTTCCATCTGATCTGAACATATTACACCTACTCTCATCAACGAATAAACATCTCCTCCAATCAGCTATTCCCCAGTTCAAATGGTTCTGAGCCCAAAGTCTTCGAGCTATCCTGTGGTTCAGCTTTAACAAAGTACAAGATGCCCTCCTTCTCGCTCTCAGATTGCGCTCATGAAGCCTTCTTCTGATTGTCTCATCTGAGACAACAACTCCTGTTGCATTTCTTAGTGCACAGTTCAGTTGTCCAGCAGTCTGTGTTCGAAGACGACGTACCGAAGTAACTAAGAAATTATCATTTCTATCTGAAGTCTTCCGTTGTCGTCCACCTCCGTGACGATAATTAGGATCTCCTGTTCGATCGTGACGACGGATTGCCCTGTATATTGAAGCTCTTGATGTATCGAAATACTGTCCAATGTCTTCAACATTCAAACCACCATCTCTCATTCTGAGAACCATTTGTAATTGTTCATTAGTTAGTCGTGGCATATTTTATTACAATAATCAAATGTTTGACAATTTCTGATTATTTCTCAGACAACATATTATACCGAGGGGTTAACCAATGAATTTAAGGTATTCAAAAAATTCGAATAGCCATTATGTTGTTCAAAATTGCATATCTCAAAACATCCTGTATGGATCTTGATGAATCCGAAACCATTTCGAGGAAACACATTAGGCTTCATGTTTTTGCCGTCAGAAAAATTTAAAAAAAATCATCCTGCTAACGGGGCGACCTCAAACTTTTTGGAAAGTATCACACTTTCAGATATCATCCTGTAGGTCATAATTCCGAAATGGTGGAGAAACGTAAAAAAATATGTTATAGCCAATCAACTGGGCAATCACAATCTCAAAACTAATCAAAGATCGGTTGATCTCATCCAAAGTTATCACGGTTCGAAAACAAACAAAATGTTCGCTTGTCTCACTTCAAATGTGGAGCAGTTTAGAATGGTGACACTTTACAATGATAAGTTCGATGATATTGAGTTATTCAATCATTCACTACTTGTATTCAAATCAAATGTTTCTTGAAGTAGTGTTAGGTTAAGGGAAAATTGTAATCTGTATAATTTTTTTTCTGTACGCTCAACTGTATCCGTGGATAACCGTTAACACGGGTTATGCCTGTTGTTATCCTATATGACTTCAATAAATAAATAAATTCAACAGAAAACAACTACTTTCCTGGCTATATGCCACGACGAACATTGAATTATATCTATTGAACACATATGATAAGAATTTGAAAACAAAATCTTCTGAAGTAGAGAATTTGCATTCTCCCTTATATAAAGATATGCACATTTTATCATTCTGAATATTCAATCGACAACAACACTTTCCTGGCTATTTGCCACGTCGAACATTGAATTATATCTGTTGAACATCCAAAAAGAGAGCATAAAAAATGAAAATCCTCTGAAAATTGACATCTCTCAAATCGGATGAAATAATATGATGTATTATGATATAAAATTATAACTTACCAATATGTTCAGTATTGAAATGGAAATTGAAATGTATAGGAGAAGTATACTTGTATAAACTCTGATCTTGATGAGTTTGGGACTTCCAAAAAAATCAAGAGTTCATACAAGTATACTTCTCCTATACATTTCAATACTAAACATATTGGTAAGATTTTGTTTTCAAATTCTTATGGTGTGTTCAATAGATACAATTCAATATAACCAGGAAAGTAGTTGTTTTCTGTTGAATAAACCGAGAAAGAACGTAACTTGAAATAATACTAGAAATTGAATCAAGGAATGCTCAAGGTACCTTTTTACCTTTTTTGGACGACTATAAATGGAAAACTGGTCCTTAAGGAGCGACTATAAATACTGGCCTACTAGCATTCCATATGAGTGAAGCAGGATCCTGAATGGTCTATGTCTGACACTGATTATTTTTGTATTATAGAAAATTTAAATTTGAAAGTGACGTCTGGTTTGGCGGCCGTTGCTATAGTTGACGGTCGTGAAATTTAATTTCGCAAACTATTTCAACAACGCGAAATACTCACTTCGCATGCTATTGTCCGAAAATGTTTTTTTGATCTCTTTTACCACCCCTTGAATTATTTGGTATTTGGGGACACCATGTATATAATCATTATAAGAAATTATTTGTTTCAGTTATAAAGATAGTCCAGGCCACCCGCTTAGGTGTACGTTCGAGGGTACCCTGAAAGACTTGTTAGTATATACAAAGCCAAAAGTTCCCAAAAAGATATTTTATCAGCAGCTTAGCATTCGTGTCAATGAATTAGAAAATAAGAAACAATTTAAATGTATTTATGTGGGTCCTAAAATGAAGGAAGAAAAAGAGCTTATATTGTATCCGAATAAGAATGGAACGGTTGCGGATTTATTAGAAGAAGCTAAGAAACAAATTGAGTTCGGGGAAGGAAGTACAGGACGACTTAGGTAAGTGCTATCTTTTTTATCTCTTGGAGCGCACGAAAGGAAATCCCTATTATGTTCGAAGACCATCTTGCGTACCTAGGGAGGATAGGGAGAGAAATATTAATGAGACACTATTGTTTTGCCTTTTTTGTATATTAAAGTACGGACACTGAAAAGCCGTGACACTCAGGCATAACCACAAATAAATAGATGTAAAAAGCGGGAATTGACAATTAGGCAATCCAACGACCTGTCAAACTATGCGCTGGTTGGCACTCAATGAAATTATGTATGTGTGATAAGTCGTTTTTATATGCGAATTACTGTTGGTATTAAAAGTACAAGTCATATATTCAAAGAAAATCACAAACAGTGAATATTAAGTTGTTATCATTTTGGCATACAAATCACATCGTGTTGTTATACAAAAATGCAGCGAGAGACGGAGAAATACGATTTTAAAGGTAAGTAAATTGTGATCTAACAGTACTGTAGTCACTCGCATAATTTTCATTTTGAAATCTTATGATTTCTATTTATTTCTGCTATAGACCCTAATGGAAAGAATTGTGTAGTTTTTAAAAGAAAGCAAGAAGCTTGGATTCGTGCAATCAAACGGGGGGACTGGTCCGACATGCTGGCAAAATTTGGTCGGGTGTGTTGTAGACATTTTCACTCTATTAGCTCCTTGTAGAAGGAATAATAAAGAGAAATGACAAACATTTCAAAATAAAAACTTTATTACTTACAGTACTTATGGAACGAAATATAGACGAGACATCATATTCCTTCGCTCTACAACAGCACAATGTGATGGCATGCTTGAATAAATAAATAACCCCGAAAAACACGATTCGTATGCCAAATTAATTATGAAAAACTATAACAAATAGGAGAAGAGGGAGTTGGAAAATGTATTGAGAAGTTTGTTTCATTGCCTGCATTCCTGATCTATTTTTTCAATGTTTACCTCATTCTGAGCTTATGTACTACAAACATTATTTATCTGACTTACCTAATTTATATTCCTAACTTTTTAATTTATCGTTATATGACATACGTCAATTAGTTTATAAAACATCAAATATATGTATTGGTCTTACGCGCATGATATAGACACAGAAATTATTAATTGAAAATGTAAATTATAATATGTACAAATAAACATAATATCTAGACAATTCAAACAGAACATATCAAATAAAAATGTAAATTACAATGTAGACAAATTGACACACAAAAAAGAAGAATATAGAATAAATTCAACAAGCTCAAAGTCATTTTCAGAAATGTCCATTAAATGAACAACAATGGTAGATGACGAGAGGAAAACAACTACTTTCCTGTCTAATGCCACGCAGAACATTGAATTTTGAATTACATCCTCCCGAAATCTATAAATCGATACGTATAAACGAATACTAATGCAAGTGTTTCTCTCCCTAATGCCGATTGATTTCGATTTAACCAGGTTAACGCTACGACACCGACATACCGGTTTCAAGTTTTTGTGGCTCTCATCAGTGCAGGGTAGTCTTCAGGCAGCAGTCTGAAGACCGCCGGCTAAGTGCAACCTGGCCCAAGGAACTCCAATCGGCAATATTTATGGTCTCAGAGGAATCTCCTGTGGGCACAGGTGTGCCACACGGGTTTAACGCCATCGTTTATACGTATCGATGCATAGATTTCGGGAGTGTAATGGGTGGCATTAGCCAGGAAAGTAGTTGTTTTTCTCCCGTCACCTACCATTTTTTTTTTTTTTTTGCAATTGCATTACCTCGTTGGTCCCAGCACTGGGACCAAACACCCCATAAGTCGAAACTTGTGCGGGGTTAGGTAAGCATACAATCATCCATGGCCTAACTTGGATTCGAACCTATGTCTCTGTGGGAGTCCCCATACGAACTCAGCGCATTCACGCTCTCGACTACCGAGCCGCCGACCATTGTTGTTTATCTTATTGAACATTTGTGGAAATGACTTCGAGCTTTTGTATCCGTTTAACCTCTTATTCCACTTTGAGCATTGTGGCTATTTGGTAGTAGAAATTACGCCAGTCGGGCAATCATCCACTCCCATTTTTGGGTATTTCAGTTTTGCGGAGTGTTTATTTCCTGCTGTGTGGCCTAGATGGCGTTAAACCCGTTGTGGTTGTGTCTGGTTGTCGCTTCTCGTCGAGTGTTACTATAAATATGCAAAAACATCAATACAAAAGGTCAAAAGGAGGAGGAACTCTCATGGAAACCATTCATTTTCTCTCTTTCTCTCTGAATATATTGTCCTCTTGTCGGAGAATCCGTCCCCATCCGGCCTGGATACCGGCGTAAATAATGATGGTTTTGTTCTTCGAGCACCCTGGATGTCTCACTCGAAGTGATATACCAGGTATTGTGCTCTTTTAGCGTTTCAAACTCACAATCACATTTCATCCATTTCGGAGTGTTCCGATAATTTTAAAAAGGAAAAACAACAATGAAACTCGAACCAGTTCGATAACAAATAATTGTCTCTAAAGACCTCAGAATGAGTCGCTTTGGTTATAATAGATTGTTCATGTTTATTATAAATCCTCCTTATGCTTTGTGAATAATCTAGCAGAATATCACTCTGTTCTGAATATCTTCTCATAATTCTCTCCTATTGTTGACTCAATGAGCTAATTTCCAACATGCAAATTCTCATTCCTCTGTGTAGTTCAAAAGAATTCATTGATGGAACACATATTCTTTATGTTTTTCGTGCGATCAATTTTGAATTCAGAAAAAAATTGCGAAGATGTAGTTTCGGCTCCTCCACCATTTTGATGACTACTACTTAAAAAAGCCATGTATGCATACCTAAAAATGCGAGCCGTTTACGCCAGTACAGTGTTACAAGATTTGTCGGAAAATCTAATGATTCGGGAAATTTCGCTCTAACATCATAGTTGGCATTGGCACCAGAAATGACGTATTCAACAAATAATAGGAGTGGAAATGGCCTTATTTCTTGAAATTTTATACCGAATTCCTGATGAATGGTAATTATAGACGAAACATAAATGTTAGAATAGCATAATAGACGATTATAAATGTATGGGCATACAAAATAACAATGATGTTTACAGCTCGTTTTTGTGGTTAATTATTCTAATTTCAATTTCTGTTGAAAGGTTGAAGAGATATTTTAATTTATCCAAGTAATTCATGAGCTAAGTCTGGCAACAGTGGTTGCAAACCTGATTTACACCATTCTGAGATGTATTTTGTTTACATTTTTGTTGATGGTTTGAGGTTAGTCCATACTGACAGCTTTCTTCTTGTTCTTATTTCCGGGTACTTAGGCGTGAAGTTAATATGTAAACTTATTATAGACAAATATCCCCAAATGTCACTAGATCTTGGCAATACGTCATAGTCTTCTCCATTGACAATTCTCAATTCCTGTAATATGAAAATTAAAATAATTTGAGTAGGCGAGTGGGGAGAATTCTTTTATTTCTTAGAACCATCACTCAAATACCTTTCAATTTCGTGTTTTTTAGTATTTTTCAATCATCAATAATGCCAAGGTAATTTTCAAACGGCTAAAAATTTACCGCTTGTAAAAACTGACGTCACGATTTTGTAGGAAAGACCATAGCACAGTTGCCATATGTCGAAATATGATCGGGAACCTTTGTGTAAATAATAATTGTATTAATTCACACTAGAGGACATTTGAACAGGTAAAAGTGACAACACGGCGCACGAATTGTGAGAGCTGTCTTGTCAGTTCTCAGCATTCAGTACAATGTTGCCAAGTCTGCAACATTTGCATGATATTTTTTTATAGAGTATAAGAAATATTTGGATATACTGGTTGCTCGTGAAAGTCAAGACAGCATTCCACTTGACAACTTTGCTTCATGAGTGGGAATGGAAGATCATCTAGCCAATAACGAAAAAGCATAAAAACTGACGTCATCAATTATTCGACGTATCGCAAAATGGCGGCCATGACGGTATGTTTGAAATGAGCTCTGAAATTCAACAATTTTGAACAACGCATAGACTCGTTTTCTACATAAAAAAGCGGGAGAAGTGTTGTAAAAATTAATGTAATTCCCTAACGACACAGACGAGTAATTGAATGCCAATAATTCATTATCAGTCCACTCGCCCATTGCCAATCTAGACATCAGAAACCTAATACTAGGTAGTTAAATAATAATTCTATGACAATTCGTTCGGGGAAAACTACCTCATTGTGTTGTTGGTCGGCAGCACAATTTAGTGAACAAACACACAGAATCATCTACAATATTCAGAACATCTCGTGATATTACGTAACATATTGATATTTCAGGTTGACGGAAGTAAACGGTAATAAAGTAACGATGGGTCCAAAAGAGGACTCGTCTCTAGAATCGTTAACTGTCACCGCAACGAAAATATATAGGGTAGAGGAAGTGTCGAAGGAAGAGTTGACCATCGCCGATGACGAGATGCTCGTGTCTTGTGCTCACTTTCACAAAGAGGCCTTCTCGACCTTCGGTATACCTTTCCTCGTCAAACTCAAGCAAGGAGAACCCTTCGATAAAGTTAAGGGTAAGTTCATGATAAACAAGGAGTTGAGAAATGCCTGGTGGTCAGAGAAATGTTGAGTTGGTGTGTTGGTGTCCTATAAAGTGATTGTAGATTGTAGGTGGGTCGTATAGATTGGGAGTTCTCTCGATCAATGCGACCTAGAAGATCTATTGTGAATACCCTCATATAATTTCAGTCCTCTAACCCTAGACTTCTAATGAAGCCCTAGAATTTTTGTTGAATTTTCCACCTCAGCAGGCGTCAGATATACCTGTTCTAGGTGATTCAGCCTTTGGCAGACTAATATATTACATGAGCAAAGTATGTGTTCCGCGGTTTCGGTCGCGTTGTTGCAAAAGCGGCAAGTGTCATGATAACTTCAGAGGGTGAGAAAGCCTGTTATAAGTTTTAGCTGTGGTTTGCTGAGGCTGAGTAGCTCTTTGGCTCGGTTTTGCGAATGGTTGATGAACCTTTCCGCTTGTCGTTGACCCGGAGTTGCTGCTCTCCGGTAGGAGGACTTTTCGATCTCTTCCCATTTTACGAGCTCCGCCATTAGGTGACATTTGCTTGTCCCACAGAAAGGCTCTGGATGCAGACTGAACATTTTTTCGCAAGGCGATCAGCTGCCTCATTCCCTTTGATTCCTTCATGTCCTGGAACCCACATAAGTGTGACTTTGTTACGCCTTCCCAGTTGCATTAGTATTTCAAAGCGGTCCAATGTAATCTTTGGGTAAAAACGAATGATGTTAGGCTTGGCTTGGCTCTCTGAGCAGATATAATAGTCCAATCAAGATGTTCATCCGTGCTTGCACAAGATCCGGTCATTCTGATTTTTTTTTATGTTGTTAGGACCAAAACCAATATTAAGAAACCAGATTTGCAATTTCCAAAGTGCAGTGCGAGCGACGGTATACCGAAAACACAATGAAATTTTTGGAATTATTTCAGTTTTCGCTCAATATCTCACAGAAGGAAGGGTTTGACCGCTATAGTCAACCCATAAACTTTTGAAGATAACTAAATTTGCTACGATTCGAGGCCAAAGCGAGCTCCATACAGCTATTGGTTTCCCAGATACAGTTCTTCAGAAATGGACAATTTTTTTGAAAAAATGGAATATTTTCAAAATGGTCACCTATTCTGTGAATTATCTTCTAAAATATGCTTCCCACGTCAAATATTATATGGAATGAAGTTGTAGTAATTTTAATTAGCTTTCATTTGGGACCAGACTGGTATTTGTAGGCCTAGCGGTTCACCCCCATCTGGGTGTCTCATTTAAAAAATCAAAGTTGTTGCTACTTTTCAATATAAGCGGCAACGTCGCAACACTGAGAATATTATAGGTCGATAGAACACAACTGATTATCCAAGGCACCAACTTTTCAGAATAATCCTGAGTTGCATTCTCCAAAAACGTCTGATGTGCCATCCACCATGAATCAGCCTGTATATTTCATATTGTATCTCCTTCACATAGGTTAGTAACCTGTGTGTGAGAGAAAATTGTTTTTCCATAATATAAAAACTCAAATAATTCATACAATAACGAGAATAAATTGAAATAAAGAAAAATAGAGTTCATTAAAAAGATGATCGATTTTTTTTGCCTTCCAGATATATTTTTTCGATCGCACGGCATTTCGCGGCGTTAGATCTTTAATTTCATTTCTTATTTCTTCGAGATTGTAATCACCGATACGATTTCAGTAATTCATTTTATGTGTTTGTTGATTTTTATTTTCGAATTAACAAACTTTGTTGCTTTCCTACCACCACCCCCTCAATTCAAATATGCTCTATTAACCCCGCTTCATCGCGCTCCATCAACCATAGACCATGAAGTTATACCACTAGTTCAGTGTAAAACTAGGGCTCTTTGCGTGAAATGGCCCTGAAATCTGACCAATGGAAATTATTCCTGTTAATTTCACTCTGATAACCAGTTGACACTAAAAATCCCTTTTATATTATATTTTTTGGTCTTGAAAGTTTTCAAAATGTTCGTGAACTCAAACTTTCCGGAAATAATTTCCTATTGTCATTATAATTGAAAATTCGATATTTTCTAGAACGAATTCAGAAAAAACTGGCTGTGCCTGAAAAGGAATATGAGAAATTCAAGTTTGCAATTGTAGCTATGGGCAGGGCTCAACCTATCCAGGAAGATGAATATGTGGTGAATTTAGCTGACTTCAAGACGCTTCAAAGTAAGTAATAATCTTGGATTTTTGAATTCAATTCCTATTTTTTCTCCATCAATAGTCTGGGAAGGCCATGAGAATGAGCAAGTATTTTTTTTTATTCTCTATATTTACACTAAGCTTTCAATTTTATTATTTTTCAAACATTTCCTGAATTGTTGTTATGTAACAAAATCACAAATGAAGTCATAGTCTCATTCAAATATCGTAATTGGCCACCCATTACTACTGACGCCGCGACTTATTGAGTGAAAGACATAGTTGCCAGATGTCAAAATACATCTGGAAATAGCAGTAACTGTCTGGCTATAAACATTCATGAATCATGATTCATTGCTTTTTCAATATGTGTGAAGATTTCTTTCATACAGGTAATGGATGTGTTTGAGTGTATGTGACAAAAGCGTTATTAATTCACACTAGAGGAAATTGAGTAAGAAACGTGGCTACATTGCTTCACTTCTTTCATTTTTTATAAAGCAGCCTGTTTGTTTGTATTGCTGAACTTGCTAAATTTGTTTTTTTTTCCCCATAGTTGTCTCTGTTCATGGCATGATGTAAACAGAGAAAGCCATAGAAAAAAAAACAAGTTCAGTAGGTAGAACAAGCACAAACGAACAGGCCTCTAGTGTCAGGATAAGTACATCGTTCCTCGGCACGTGTCAAGGTCATTTTGTGGTGATTGAACATATACATGATATAGATACATTTTATTTGATCATGTTATGTAATAAACATGGGTACAAGTACTAAATATTGGGTAAGTGTAAACATTAAAACATGTATAGATGACACATACAGAATGATGAATTTTTTAAGAAGTATATTTTTTGTAGACAAGCGGTGTCCATTTAAAAAAGGCATCCAAGGCCTACTAGATCACATTCAGAGGCTGAAAAATCCAGAATCCATATTAGCGATTTTTTTTAATCCGCGTACACCACTGGAATCGACTTCCTGTGAAAGAGATATTAGAGTCACTGGATGGTATTAGTTAGATAAGCATTCGGACACAGAAATGACAACTGTTAGTGTTTTTGAATGTTTAGATTTATTAAGTTACACACCTGGCAATGTGACAAGAGCACCATAGTCGTCCCGCGCTTTTTCATTCAAAATTGTCTTAATTTGACATTACATTTCATGAACGTCAGAATTGGAATATAATTTCATAAACTATTGAGAAGAAACCATGAATGAAAATGTCCTGCTGTGTAATGAAATGTGCGAATTCTGAAGAGAATGGATATCATTTATTCAATTTTCCAAAGGATATATCAACCATTCTCGTATGGAAGGGATGTATGGAATTATGAAAATTGGATGAAAATTAATTTGAAGACAAGCAGAATTTGTGAAGTACATACATTAAAATTCACTTATAACAGCAGATTAGAATGAAACTATATTTGAGGCTCATTGTTGAGCAGAAGATTTTAAGATGCGCTAAAGAGAATCTGCTGTTCCATCCATTTTCAAAACAAAATTATCATGGAGAAAGAGGAATTGATTGCAAAACTACGTAATGAAATTGAAAATTTGGGAACGAAAATGAGGAAATCAAGTAGATTGCAAGATGAGGATGTGTATCATGGGAATCGTTTTTATTTTTTTCTGACGTTAATTAAAGACATATAGGAAAACAGAAGACACTTTCTTGTCCCCATTTTGTAAGCTCTACAAAATAGCGTTGAGACAGCTATACCCCATGATAGACATATTTATCTTAGACTCACTGTATATAATTGAATGACGTTTTCAATACCGACCGAACTAGCTATAAGTATATGCATAAGTATGTCTATTTTGTCATATTAAATAGCTATTTGTGTATTTAGAGCGCAAAGTGATAGATTGCCGCTCGACAAAGAAAGTTACCGCGCGATGCGGAGCGGAGCGCGGTAATCTTTTGAGAGCGGCAATGACACTTTGTGTTCCAAATACACATAAGATTTTCTCTACCAACACAGCTTTTGGAAATAACTTTCCTGAAAGTATGAGCGATTGAAATAGTTGAAATAGTTCTTATCCATATTATCCCATATGTCCAAAGAAAAAAAAAACTAAAAATAACTGACAAGCCAGAAAAAAAAATGTCGGGCCTACCGAGAATTGAAACTGGACCACCAGCATGGCAACCTGAGCTTCAGACCTCTGAGCCATAGTACAATAAACTCTGCAATCAAATTGAACATTACTCATTGATGCAATAAAATAAAGATACACTGCCTTTCTGATGATAACAAAGAGTTTAAATATAAAGTTCACCGTTTTCAACAGATATTCTTCATCGGGAGCTTCTTGTAGAAATTTGTTGGTATATATCTTCAGCGGTGAATGTTTTGGATTTGTCTCGCTTTATATCCAATAGATTGTTTCTTGAGAAATGCGATAAGTTTCAGATACTTATTGATTCTGATATTAATTTTAACATTTGAGCATGTATACGTACCATTGAATATATAGACCAATGAGTTGATGACTTCAACAATAAACAAGTTCTTATAATGTGAATAATATCACGTATCTAGCTAAAGAAGTGTCAAAATTGTTTATTTTTAAAACAACGAAATGTCTTCTTAGCATACTAGATGTTTCTAGCCCACAAGATAATCCTACTACTTCTTCAACGTCTGATTTCGCGTAGGGACAAGCAAATGAATGCATTTTATTTTCTAACTCAAAAACCGTTCGCCGGACGATAAAAAGACAAGAGACCATTTTTATGAGAAGATAGAGGATAATTACAAAAATAATATTTATTTGGAAAAAAAAAGTGGCGTATCATTATTTTGATGAAAAATATGACAGGGTATGTTAACAGGGACGCCACTGATGGAAATTAAGAAATCCTTTATCATGGAAAAAATGTATTTCTATGCATACTTGGCATGTACCAAAATTGAAGAAAAAATCCATAGCGGTTTCAGAGATATTGGGGAATAACTGATTTTTTTGTTAAATTTCAACATCCTGTATCTCAGAAACGAAGCTGTTACGGACCTATGTTCACATGAAGAATTTTTTTAAAAATCATCCAAGGATTATCGCCCTTTATGATCAGCAACACCCTGTATAGTGGAATTATCAGTGCAGAAATAAAACTTCAATCAGTGATTTCTCGAAATGATACTCTTTAAAGATATCCCACTATTGAATTAGAGCAGCGATATATTGACATAATACTCAATATTTTTATTTTGTAGAAACGAGGAGGGAAAATCCCAAATTAACATTAATTCAACACCTCCTCGATTGATCTACAGACAGTATTTGAAGAATTGTAATTTTTTCAGTAGGCAACCCAAAGCCTTGGCTAGGTTTAGACCACGTGAACAAGGCCCCGAAGCGGTCGCGATTCAATTATCTAGAAAAGGCGATCAAAATCTACAACTGAGACTGATGACACACCGGCCGCTAAATTTGAAACATCATTCGAGGGCAGTGCTGGATATAATATACTAGATCTGGCGATTGTGACATCAATCGCATACATCTTTGTTACTATACTAATCATAAGGTGTGAGCGCTGCTTGTCATTAAGATTTTTTTTTAATAATCATTTCAACTAGCAACTTTTCTGCTGTATAACACTTGTAAATATTATTTAATTGACAGAGAAATATCTGTTTAGGGTGTATTCACGAACTACTCTTCGGACATACATTGTGCATGGTTATTCAGAGTTTCATGAAATGACTATTGACACTCTTGTATCTAGTTAATGTTTTATCGAGTCACTTGAAAATGATGTAATTGTTAGATGTTATCATATTTTTTTGTTAATTGAAAACTAGGTGTTTGAGCTTATTGAGGAATTCTGAATAACCAAGTAAATTTATTGTTTGTAATTTTGCGAGGATTATTGTTGGCCACATCTAAAAATGTATGTTCAGATTCCCCCACTTATCTCTATCCCGAGTTTTTAGTAATATAATTTTATTTGTGATACAACAAATCAGACTCTGTTCGTTTTTTTTACTCTGCGAGAACTAACAAAAATTATTGATACAAATTTTTTTGAATTGTGGTTTTTATTTTTAGTCCCAAATTTTGATAATTATTTGCCTGTACAAAATTTTGTATTAAATATTAAAGATTGTATTTATTGCCACTCTGTATATTTCGTAATTTCAGTGAAATACTGCTTAGATTTTAAAGTATTGCAATAAAATATGAAAGTTATTTTTTGGCGTTTTCTTGTTGAAAATATGTAAGCACTAAGCAGCTAAATATAAAATACTGATAATTATGAAATAAATAAGTTTATGTTGATATTATTTTGTTTTTGTACATAAATTAAAAAAGTCCTATTACAAACATGACAATGAAATTCAATAACACATATCGTTGGTTATAGTGTAGGCACTCTAGTACATTTTTTTTTTGTGAAGTGATAACGAGCGGTCTGGGGGACATATTTGGAGGGGGAGCGGCGAGTTGATCAAAAAAGTTGCTTAAGATCAAATACAATCTGAGTTTGTGTTCCAAAGGACCCCGCACTTTTTCTACACTCACCGGCAAAAAAAAACCGGCCACCAAAAAATTTAGTCAAGTTGTTCGCCCTGTAACTTCTTTAGTTCTTGTCGGATTTTGGTGAAATTTTGAACAAATCGTAGATTCATGTTCCGGAATGTTAACCTGCATATGAATTCCCAAAAAAGCTGATAGCTTGGTCATTATACAGGGAAAAACAAGAGTTACTCATTTACCCATAACTTCTTAACGCCCTGTGGCTGAAGTGAGTGGTTGAACTCCTCTTCATTATGTCTTGGATTGAAGAGTATTCTTTTCTCATCACAATAGTTTTTGATTCACGTCGATATCTCATTGTTTAGAAAAGATACGATGGTTTTAAGAAAGTATGGAGTTATTCAAGTTTTATTTAACAATCATCAGAACGTACATAAACTTATCGATCGACAACTTAAAAAAAACATCTTTAAATCAATATGGCTTATTTCCACATTGTTTTCTTGGTATACTCCCCATATTATTGGAGACGGCTTTGTCTTGATGCATGACAACGCCAGACCACACGTTGCTCGAATTGTAACCGAGTATTTGAATGAGGTCGGAATTCTAAGGCTTGACTGGGCCAGCATGCAGCCCGGATCTCAATCCTATAGAGCATCTTTGGGATGAACTACAGAGGCGCATTCGTCTACGTCCGGCATTGCCAGAGACTCTTCAAGAGCTACGATTCGCCCTTCAAGAAGAATTTGAGGCAATTCCTCAAGACTGCTTGAGAAATCTGATCAACTCGATGCCACGGCGATTAAATGCTGTAATTCAAGCTCGAGGAGGGCATTGTCGGTATTGAATACATCTAGGAGATCTACTTTTCGTTTGTTTTTTGTAATTAAGGTTTTTTGTGTAGGTGTGTCTACGTTCTGATTATTGTTAATAAAACTTGAATAACTCCATACTTTCTTAAAACCCTCGTATCTTTTCTAAAAAATGAGATATCGACGTGAATCAAAAACTATTGTGATGAGAAAAGAATACTCTTCAATCCAAGACATAATGAAGAGGAGTTCAACCACTCACTTCAGCCACAGGGCGTTAAGAAGTTATGGGTAAATGAGTAACTCTTGTTTTTCCCTGTATAATGACCAAGCTATCAGCTTTTTTGGGAATTCATATTCAGGTTAACATTCCGGAACATGAATGTACGATTCGATCAAAAGTTCACCAAAATCCGACAAGAACTACAGAAGTTACAGGGTGAACAACTTGACAAAATTTTTTGGTGGCCGGTTTTTTTTTGCCGGTGAGTGTATATAAAAATGGCGTACTGTCGAATTCTCTGAATTTCTGGTATATTATAGAACTCGACCTAATTATCGAATATGCCGAGTCTCAATCCGATCCTATGACCATTTTTTGAGATACAGGGTGTTGAAGTTGAGAAATGCCCCATTTTCATTTACCCATATCTCCAAGAAAAGATGAATGAATCAGAATTTTCTGATAGCAGTTTTTCAGTTTAACCTTTAGGTAGAAGAACCATGTACAGAATTAACCAAAGCTGATCTTTATCACAGGGTGATTCACATCTGAATTATTGTGTTATTTTCAATTTCAAAATATCGATACTACCACTTGATGAAAATTGAAAAATCAAAATCATCAATCGACATGTTCTTCTTACATGAAATTGATTCATTTTAAGTATTGATTACACATGGTGTTTCGTGAATGCTGATGTTTAGAAAATAAAGTTCAATAAGCCACCTCGTATTATTGGGTTGTTTTTGGCTATTGATTATAATTTTTGAGGACACATTATGATGCATTTCATGATATACAGAGTGATTTATTGATTGAAAAATTGCCAACTACAAACTCTACTATTTTTTTCCTCACCCTCTAATTCTAGATCATCACCGTTAATGTCAGATATTTTTTTTCATCAATATTCTAAGTATTAATACCTCAATGAGATGAAGAATTTTAAGCTTCTTGCTGTGACTAGTTTTCCATATATTGAATATAATAAAAGTGATTACCCACTCAGATTAAATATACTGCTTCGAAATGAAAATATTACTGTTACTGAGATATTTCCATTGGAGACTTGAAAGAATAACAAAATATACAGTATACAGGGTGTCCGATAAACCATCGATCATACTGTAGCCGGTGATAAACAAATTCATAACTTATCAGAAAACCACATTCTGACCTCAGCAAAAAACTCACGGATTTCGAGATATTGGAACTTTTATATAAAAAAATTAATTCCTGTCTTCATGTGTAGCTTGAAACATACAAATAGGAATTGAGTTCTTTGTATAAAAGTTCAAATTGTGGTGTTTTGCCAAGCTATAAACTTGTTTATCACCAGCTAGAGTATATATGATCCATGGTGAAGCGGACATCCTGTATACTGTATATTTTGTTATTCCTTCAAGTCTCCAATGGAAATATCTCAGTAACAGTCATATTTTCTACAAGTAATATTTTCGTTTCCAAGCAGTAGGTATTCAATCTGCATGAGTGGGTAATCACTTTCATTATATTCAATATACGAAAAACTAGTCATAGCAAGGAGCTGAAAATTCTTCATCTCATTGAGGTATTAATACTTAGAATAATAATGAAAAAAAAAATCTGACCTCAACGGTGAAAATCTAGAATTAGAAGGTGATGGAAAAAACAGTGGTTTTTTAATATTTTTTTGTAGTTGGCAATTTCTTCATTCAATAAATCACTCTGTATACCATGAAATGCATCATAATGTGTCCTCAATTATAATCAATAGCCAAAATCAACCCAATAATACGAGATGGCTCATTAAACTTTATTTTCTAAACATCAGCATTCACGAAACACCATGTATAATCAACTTATAAAATGAATCAATTTTATGTAAGAAGAACATATCGAATAATAATTTTGATTTTTTAATTATTTTCAAGTTATAGTATCGATATTTAGAAATTGAAAATTACACAATAATTCAGATGTGAATCACCCTGTGATAAAGATCATTTTTGGTTGATTCTGTACATGGTTCTTCTACCTACTACTACTACTACCACTACTACTACTACTACTACTACTACTACTACTACTACTACTACTACTATTACTACTACTACTACTACTACTACTACTACTACTACTACTACTACTACTTCTTGGAGATATGGGTAGATGAAAAGGGGGCATTTCTCAAGTTCAACACCCTGTATCTCAAAAACTGGTCATAGGATCAGATTAGAACTCGGCATATTTGATCATTAGGTCGCTTTCTATAATATACCAGAAATTCAGGAAATTCGACAGAACGCCATTTTTACATAGAAAAAGTGCGGGGTCCTTTCAAAATACTTTATGTCTATACAGGGTGTCCCGAAATTAGCCTGCCAACCTTCACCAGCGTCATCTACGACCAAAAATGGAAAGAAAAGTTTCAATGAACATTACTTGATGAATGTCTACTAAGGGAGCTACGGCCCCCTTAAAGGGGGCTCCTGAAAATGATACTCATAGCTAGTGAAATTACAATGACGATCATCACGGATGAGAAAATGCATAGAGACTTTTCCAATGTTTTTATTTCTTCTAGATTTCTCATCAAAATTTCCAAAGAAATGCTCCCGGTACAGTATACAAAATGCAAGGTAGTTCTGTCGACTATGCCGTTATTTACTTAGGCTCGAAGCTCTTCAAAGGGTAAAATCATTAGAAGGTCCCCTTATTGAAGAGCTGGGCTGTTCGAAATAAACCGGCAAACAACCTTGCAACAATGATGCGTTGAATTTAAATTAAAAGTAAGAAAAAATCAACTGAAAGCTTTTATTTAAACGCTCTAAAAAGAATGAAATAAGATGTTCCTTTATAATTTTAACTATCAACTTATAACCTCATTATACACAATTTATATGA